CGTCAGTGCCGTTTGTCCCTGTGTCCTCGGCACTGAGCAGAGGGCCTGGCCAGAGTGGGGAAGGAGCTGAACAGGACCACAGGGCGGCCATGAAAACATCTTTTAACCGCTGTCCATCGGCGTCAGCCCAGGCAGGCCACTCACTTCTGTTGTTTGGTGGGAACTTCCCCCCAGGGCTAGGAGGGCCGAGAGCGGCCACGTTTTCCAGCGGGAGCGCGTGCCGGCTTGGTGGGGGAGCGTGTGCTGAGTCATGCGGCTGGGGAGCTGCTGAGTCAGAACTCCAGCTGCTGGCCGACTAGAAAAGCCATCTGTTTTGCTGCCTTTAAGGCAGTCATGCCCAAACCTGTCTGAGCCCCACTAAGGGTGATGTAGAGTTACACGCATTCCTTGAAGATAGGGTGCAAGCACGGACTTCACGGGAGAAAGAGGGGAAGGAAAGGAGGATAAAGGAGAAGACAGCAAGGAAGGAAAGAAGGAAAGAAGGGAGGAAGGGAGGGAGGGAGGAAGGAAAGAACAAGAGAGGGAGGGAGAGAGAGAAGCAGCTGAAGGAGAAGAAGGTTAGGGTTAGGGCTACAAGAAGCATAACATTACAGTCTAAAATGTATTATGACTGTAAGCAACTGATGAACTATAATAAAAGATAACCTATCTGATCTTAAGGCACCGGGGTTGTATCCCAGACCAGGGGGATACGACGCTGACTTCAAGCACATCACTTGGCCTGGAAACAATTTGCATGAAGTCTTAATGCGGTAAATGAAGTTCGCTGGTTTCCCATGGTTGGAATCGCCCCACGGAGCAAAGCCTGGGGGGCTTAGGTGAGGTTGGAGGACAAAGAAAATCTAAGACAGTGGATGGTAAAAAAGAGAAGAGAAAAGAAAAAAGAAAGGAAAGGAAAGGTAAGGAAAGGAGAGGAAAGGAAAAAAAAGGAACAAAGAAGGAAAAATGAGGTGGCGTAAGGACTCGAACACACTCATTGTTTAAGTAGCAAGCTAGGAAATTGATGGAATGAGAAAACTATATTCTTTCGAATTATAAAAGTAGCCAAAGGAAGGAATAGGAAGCATGCTGTTCGCCTGCTTTCGGAGGTCCGTGGGGAGAGGCTGGTGGGATCGCGGGAACCGAAACCAGCGGCAAAAGGTGGTAAATCACACGGAGGAAACAGACCGTGCGGAAGCTCAGGGCGACCGAGCTGGGGAGCAAGCTGCTGCAGGAGGTGGCTCCTGCACGACGGGACGATGGCTGACTGGGGACCACAGGGGGTCATCCCTTAAGGACAGGTCTTGTTAATTTGAAAATGTAGGCTTTCAAGCCGTACCTTAGCCCATTTATTCTCAAAATTTGGGGGACAGGAATCTGTTTTGCACAAGCCTCTCAGGTGACTTTCATGCCCTCAGACCGGCCGTGGCACTGCTGCCCGATGGCCTTGGATGGCCCGGGAGGAGCTGTCCTTGCTGCCCCAGCTCCAGTGGGGACCGAGGTATCCCTGAGCCCCCGGCACTCTGCTGCCTCTGCGAGGGGGCTTGAGGCGGGGAGGGCCTCGCAGGCTGGCATCACAACTTCCTCGGAGAGAGGCACCGGCCTGACTCAGCTTCTTGCTTCCCAGCTGCTCCCAGCATCGGGGGAAGATGACTCAGAGCGATGACTGCGCTCGGGGCCAACGTCCTCACTTCGTTTCTCAATTCCTGCCCGACTGACCCCGAAGGTCACTCTGATGGCGGTGCTGCCCTTTTCACCTCCTGACTCAGTGGTGACCTTTTGCCTTCCTGCCCTTTGCAGGGGGGAGGGGGTTTTGCCATGCCTTCAAGGCTGTCTCCTCGAGGCAGGAAAATGAGAAGCTCGGGAAACCCCTGGACACGTGGAATACAGGAAACTGAGAGCACATCATTAAAGAAGGCCGAGCAACCTGCGCCGTGGACAGCCAGCGGATGAACCCCACGGCTCCATCGGCCCTGACCGAGGACACTTCGAGGCAAGCAGTTTACACTTTCCAGAGTGTCCTGGGAACAGGTCAGCCTCGGGCCCGGTTCCTTTTCAGTGACGTTCTTTGAAAACAGAACTAACCGGAAAACAATCCTGACCCCTGTATCCACGCATTCTGGTGAATCAACGTATGGAAAGACACTCCTGGAAAGCTCACGAATGTTCTGTTCAGAACATCCCCTGACACCTCCCCTAGGATTCCTGCCACCAAAGGAGGATAAAGCCTCGTGAACAAAGGACCCGCGGTGTGCTCTTGGTGGAGCACTTCCACGCCTCGCGTCCCTGCTGTCTTCCTCCCAAACTCCAAGGGTCCCCGCGAGGCCTGCACCCGGGGGGCAGTGGGCAGCGGCAGCCTGTCCCAGGCCTATCCCGGACCCTGTCTCCACAGACCACTCTTCTCTGACTTTCTCCCTCCTGCTGCTGCTTCTGCTTTCAGCCCTTCCTCTGTCCCACGGTCCCCAGCTCTGACAACACACTCTCCAAACCACCCGCACTCACGTTGTGGGATCTTCCCTGCTCGAAGAATCCGCACATCACACATTGCCGACCGGCCCGAGGCAGGGCGGCTCCGGGCCCAGACCCCGTCCCGTATCAACCCCACACGATAGCCCATCCCATCTGGGAAGGGGTGGGGGCTTCAGGGGGACCTCGGTGGACACCGGAGTGGGGGCACAGCCTGGAGTTCTGACAGCAGCCCTGATGACAGGGGCCGGTGGGGGGCCCCAGGTGTGCCGTGTTCCCAGCCCCTTCTTTATGAGGGGCCCAGGGGTCCTTTCTCGCCGGCTGGCATGTCACAGGGGCCGAGTCGGCTGTGAACTGTAAGGGCTTTCTGAACAGCGCTCCATGGTTTTCTGTTCACGTACCCGAGCACCCTCCATCAGCGGGGCGACTCCAGGGCAAAGTGGGCGCCATTGCTACAACAGGATGTAATGATGGGTTGTTTTTTCTCACACTTTTCACAGGCTGAGAACAGATAGTGGGTGGCACCCTGTGCTCGACCGTACGTACGGGGCTCCCGGAGCAGGCTGCCCAAGCTGGGTCCCCCAGGACCAGCCCACCACCCACCCACCAGCGAACGGAACGACACACTTTCAGGGCCAGTGACGGTGGGTTGTGGGTTTTGGTATTGGACTAGAGGGGACTTTCTTTAATCAGGAAAATAATGAGCTAGGCCTGGGGTGTGGCCCAAGGGCAGGATAAAACACACCTCTGAACAGGTATGACGATGTATTAGTTTTCGATGGCTGCTGCAACAAATCACAAATGGGCTTACAACAACGCAACCTGATTAGATGATGGTGGTTCTGTAGGTTAGAAATCCAACATGAATCTAGGTGGCTAAAATCAAGGCGTCGGCTCTGTGAATTTCTTTCTAGAGGAAGAAATTCAGCGGAAAAATTAATGTCCTTGTCTTTTTCAGCTTCTAAAGATTTCTCACAATCCTGGGCTCCGGCCCTTCCTCCATCTTCAAAACCAGCAACATCTGGCCAAGTTCCTCCCCTGCTCTCATCTCTCTGCTCCCCCCTCCCTGCTCCTTTCTCCACTTTCAAGGACCTTTGTGGTTGCGTGGGACCCACCAGGGCGACGCCGGCCACTCCCCCTGTCAGCCGACCAAGCCGCACTGCTCTACTCAAATCACGGCGAGCCCGTTTCCTAGAAGTGGGGACACAAATATAGATGTCAAGGGGGTTCTACCAGTAATTTCTGGGAAGATTTTCCTCTGTGGGAAAAAAAAGAAGAACTTGAAGGGAACCTCTTGCACCCTTCCCTGCCTGCCTCCAGCACAGGATGCTGTCAGGAGGGGCTGTGATATCCGGACCCGTGGCAGCCACATTGCGTCAGTGAACTGAGATGTTATCTGTGTGCCGGAGGTGGCAGAGAGGAGGCTGGGCGGAGCCCGGGCCCTTGAGGACACGACTGAGCCGTTGCTCAATCCCAGGGCCACATGCCTCTGGGAGCACCTTTAGGTTAAGGCTCTTCAGTTGGGTGCCGGGTTTCCCATCCTAGCCCACAGAGCCTATAATGTAGGTTAGAGGTCACCTAGGGTTTTGGAGGCTACCAGGGGGGTTTGAGAGGCACACAACGTGGCTGTAGACCAATCTGAAGTCCGGGAAGCGCAAGGACACAGAGAAATCCGCAAACCTGGGTTGCACTCCGGTTCACTGCCTCCCCGCGGTGTGAATTTAGACACACCCTAAACCTTCAGGAGCCTCACCTCCCAGGTCTGCACGGTGAGGTGACGGTCCCAGCACGCGACGCGTCCCTGAGTCTGGTCTGTGCTCAAGTGAGAATAAGTGTGTGAACTCATCTCTGACGCGCCAGGTCAACGACAGAGACTGCCAATCAGCTCTGTCCGCTTTTACTTTGGGTTAACTCTGTGTGTGTGTGTAATTGGGAGGCAGACAGACAGACGGACAGCTGTAAATAGGAGATTTGCCTTCACAAGTGTGTCCCTTAGGAGGGCGAGTGATAAAGTCAGTTGCTTATCTGGGAACCCAAATGGACCAAAAGCCGGGTCCTGACCCCACCTCCTTGCACACGCCCCTCACATTCAGTGAAGTCCTGGCAATTCCTCTTCCTAGAGGGTTCTCTCAGACACGCCCCTCGCCCCATTCCTCCCCACTCTGCCTCGGTTCAGCTCATCGCCTCTTGCTCAGAATACTGCGCCATCCTAGCGGCTCTCTGACCTCCTTTCTGGAACCTTCACAGCAGAGCCCTTTCTAACACGCAGGCAGGACTCTGGGCCTGCCCTCGCTGGGTCCCTGGGTCTGGTGTCTGTTCAGCTGCTCTCCTCTCCTGCTGGAGGGCGGGCCTCTTGCTTTCCCAGCACACAGCACAGAACCTGGTGCACAGAGGACGCTACAGAAATATCTGTTGGAAGCAAGTGGCAGAGAGCAGCCCGGGGTGCAAACCACAGGAAGATGGGGTAAGACTGGAAGATTATTAAGCCACAGTTTGGCATTTCCCAAGGATAGCTTTGAATGAAGAAATCAGAGTCACCATTGTGTGACTGCAAGTAGGCACTTTATTGAGGGCTGGTGGCTGTTTTAGACAATGAGGTGCCCGGGGTGGCAGCCTGGGGTGGGATGGGGGGGTCAGCAGAATGGGTGGAGGCGCCAGGGGCTGGTCACTTGCTGTAGCTCTTGGAGCCTGGATCTGGGAGGTCCAGGAGGTCTTCTCTCGGGCCAGAGCCCGCCGGCGGCTCCTCCTCCTCACTGCGTGCGGACAGCCCATCCTCGGCTTCGTCTGAAACACGGGGGCAAGGCTGATCCCATCCGGGTCCGGGCTTTCCTCCCTCATCACTCTCTCTCTGACCCGGAGAGACCCAAGCCTCTGAGGGGTGCTCCCTGCTGACGTCCTACAGAGGGCATTTCCAGATTGCCTGGCCGTAGGGACGAGCGGAGGGTGTAATGGGACTTGGGTGCATTGACGACAGACCGCCTCTGGGTCTTAGAAGGTAAAAGCAGGGTTGAGCGGCCAACAGGTACTGGACAAGGTCACTTCCCTGATGAGTGCTCCACTCTTACGGGATCTCTGCATGAAGACCTCCTGCCGTTGTGAAACACTCACCCCAGTACCCCTCCCTGAGAAGACTTCCCAGCCCTGGCTCCGGGCAGACTTCCGGCCAGCACCAGGAAGCTCAAGGCCAGTCACTGGGTTCGGTCCCTCCCCGCCCCCCCCTCAAAGCTTCTGAAGGGCATTGCTTGTATCTTGATACTCCCAGTGGCCTTGTTACGGTTCCCGTTGTCCCCTTAGCACCTCTTCAACAGGAAGTTCTCTTTGACAGGAAGTCCACTTCAACAGGAAGGGGTAGAATCCCCGCTTCTCCCCTGGCCAGAGCTCCCTCTCCAAGCTGCTTTACCCAGCCCTTCAAGGGCAGCGAGGAGGAGGAGGCTCAAGATCCTACCTTCTCTCCGGACATCAATGCAGCAGGCTGGCTCCCTACTCAACTGTCCCACAGCCCCCCCACCCCACAGTGTCCTCTCTCTCTCTCTCTCTCGCATCCCCCTCCTGCCCCCAGCAGAACAGGAGGCCCTTGGCAAAGAGGAGTGCCCAGACTGGGAGCTCCTCACGGGAGGCAGCTGTGCTGACGGCCCCCCAGTGACCGGGTGGCTCCAGCACGCTCAGCTAACACGCAGCGTGTGCAGGAAACGGCAAGCATCGACCACCTGCCCGCCCTCCACCTGGCCCCACCTGCTCCAGGCTCCCCTACCTGCAGGTGCCTTCAGGGACCTGATGTACTTGGACCAGAACGAGCAGTCGGCCCTTTTCAGGCCCCGGCGGTTGGGGAGCAGGGCGCTGAACTCCTTGTAGTTCTCGCCGTCGGCACCAGGGACGAAGTCGGGCCAGGGGGCTGCAAACTCAGGCGCCTTCCGCGAGAACTCATGCGGGTAGTTGGGGTTTCTGGGAGAAGGGGAAGAGCGAGACACCCGTGAAGGAAGCCTGTCTTTCCTTTCATCACTGGGGATCACTTCCACCCGCACATGGTCTCACGGCCCGCTCGCACCTCTGCGGGGGTCCCGCAGGATGTAACTGCTGCGCCACAGATGGCTAAAGGCGTGACGGCCTGGGATTCGCGCCCTCGGGCCATCTCTAGGAGAGGAAGACCGGAGGTCACAACCCAGCAGCACCCCACTCAGGACCTGGCTGTGCCCTTCTGGGCTTCTGAGCGCTCAGGAGGCCGCTGTGCCCCTGGCTGCCCTGGGGTCCTTTAATCTGGACCCCGAGGCCAGTCTCCGGGACACCTCTGTCTGCCCCAGGCCTGGGGGGGAGGGAGGGAGGGCCTCGAGCCAGGCAAATGCGCCTGCCACCTGCAGGTCAACTTCCTTTGGAAAGAGGATGTCACATGCCCCCCGAAACAGGCTCCTTCTCAGACTTGTCACCCAGAACCCCCTCCTGGCGTAGCCGCCCCCCCGCCGCTGACGCTAGCCGCACCCCAGCCCCACCTGACCGTCTGACATTCAGCAGGCCAGGGGCGTCTCTCGCCCCTGCCCGGGCTCCCACACGCCCCTCCCCCGGAGTGCCCTCTGTCCTCGGCGCCCTACCTGAGGATCCCTCCCTTCCCCTAAGGCCCAGTTTCCGTGTCACATCCGCAGTGAAACATTTTCAAATTCCAAGTTAAAAGAAAGGCTTTTCCATCTAACTCCCCCAAAATACTGTGTCAAGTTCTCTGTTGTCCTGCTTTTAATTGGGGTTGGGTTTTTCGTTTCTGACTGCCAGTGGCTTATCTCTGAAACGTGACTTATTGACCTTTTACCTTTCCGGGGGTCCCGGGACCGTGCTAGGGGACCAATGCGTGTGCGGCAAGGGGGCGAAGGGACAGAGGCAGGCTGCCGGTGGGAGGGGCAGCAGGAGACAACCCGGGAGGCGGAGCAGCCGGCCTGCTACCAGGGCTGGAGGACAGGCGTGCGGGGGCGGCTGGCGGCAGAGGAGGATGAGTCTGGGGCTTTTTCACTTAATCTGATGATCCAACACGGTGGTTCTCAGCTCGGGGTGACTCTGCCTTCCAGGGGACACCTGGCGGTGTCCCAGACAGCTGCAGTGCTCACGGTGGGGACGGCGTGAGTGCAGGCCAAGCAGCCTACGGGGCCCGGGACGGCCCCCAGCACAGACAGCTGCCCAGCCCCGGGGTCCGCAGGGCTGGCGCTGAGAAACCCTGGTCAGGGGCCGTCAAATGCGGCTGAACAAGCCAGAGTCAGACTGAAACCTTGCTTTGCCGAGATGAACCTACGCAAAGGAAGTTTTGGCCGGAAAGGGGAGGCCGAGCCAGAGAGACCAGGGGCAGGCGACTGCCCAGTGGAGAGAGGCAGACACGGAGCTGTCCATGCCAACCAGGGCCCCTGTGTGCAGTGTGGGGGGCAGGGGAGCGCATGAGGGCATTGGGGTGCACACGGGCCACTCACCCGGAGCGGACGAAGTTGGACAAGTACTGCATGATCTGCAGGGACACGCCTCTCTCCTCCCGGGTGAACCGCCCCTCGTAGGCAGGGTGAAAGGGCAGTCCGAAGGCGTACTGGACGTCGGCCAGCAACTCCAGGCTGAGAAAACACGTGGAAAGGAGGAGAAGCAAAGGTGACGAGGGCAGTACACTTCTGGAAAAACCAGATGATCTGGAAACCAACATTCCTCCCCAGATGGGGACTTTCCTCTCTTCGCGTTTAGGCTTCCGTTCAGTGCCTGGGTCAGCTGCGGTCTGGCTGGACCTTCCGTGCGGCGGCCCCCGCGGGGCGGGCCTGTGGCCTGTAGGTTAAAGCAAACGCCGCGCTGGTCGCCCAAGTCTCTGGGAACAGTCCTCTAAGTGGTTGTCCGAGAGAACGTTCCTCTGACCGTGCTCCAGCCACGGGACTTACGGTATCAGCCGAACACCTGTTAGTTCGGAGTGGCCTATAGTCTGAGCCCTTCTCTGCGCCAGCCCTTGTTCACGCACAGCACGCAGGCGCCCGTGCGGCCCACCCTGGTACAGGGCCTGCACATAGCGGCCAGCCGCTAAATGTAAGTGTGGTCTATGGCGGAACGAGTACCTAACAAGCTGCAGGCAGGGAGGAGATGAAGCTGTGGAGGCCAGACGAGTGGTTTGAGTGGATGGAGCTGGAGCTGGCACTGGGAGGACCAGCCCAGGGGTGCGTGGGGCCCTGGGACTGAACACAGGGAGAGTGTGGGCGCTGGGAGGGGCTTTATAGCTGAACCGTAAAGAATCTGGCTTTCCCCAGAGAGAGGTCTGGCCTTTGTCCAGTGTCGGGGGGGGGCGGGGATCGATGTCATCCTTGATGGAAGTGTCTCTGTTTAGGAATAGGCTGGCCTCACCAGATCGCCTGGTACGTGCGACCACATCCTACCGTGGTAGGGTGGGGGCTGGCCGTGCCGAAACACCGACCGTGCGACTTAGGATGGGGGATCTGAGTCACACAGTCCCAGCCAACCTGCAGACTGAGATTAACCACCTGGGCCATCAACCAACCAACCAACCAACCAATCACGCCTGCCTAGTGAGTCCCCAGTGAAACCTTCAAACACCAAGTTCAGGCGCGTCTCCTGAGTGGCACTACTCAGTGTGTGCTGTCACGCATCAGCATCGAGAAAGGGCGGCCCCTCCTAATTCCACAAGAGACAGCGACGGAGCTTTGTGTTGGGAACCCCGCCCCCAGCCCGGGCTCCGACCATGCCGCTCTTCCTCTGCTGACCCGAGTCTGCACCCTTCCCCGTGAAAACCGTCCCCACCAGCACAGCGGCTCCCGGGGAGGTCTGTGTGACCTGCTAGTGAATGATCAAACTGAGGGTGGTGCGGGGACCCCTTTGAACTTGCACTCGGGGCCAGAACGGACGTGGTCTTAGGTGAAGACTGTGTTTTCTGACCTTGTAGTTGGCCCCGAACTTATCTCAAGAGCCAGTCTCTAATTTTTCAGACAAGGAACACCAGGTCCGGAGAAGTTTCTCCGTTTACCCAGAGACACACGGGAAGTTGAATGACGGAGTCAGATCAGGGGCGTTGCTGGGAAGCACGACGCCAGCGAAAGGCCCAGGGGCGTGGCTCCTTCCTCTGCGTTCAGGTGGGTGACATCTGCCAAGTTACCAGACCTCCCCGATCCCCTGCGTCCTCGTCCGTGGAACGGGTGTCTGAATGCCCGCTTCACGGGGACGATGGGGAAACCGGGGCAAGATGGTGTGTGGAGTGGGCGCCTCGAAGGCAAACGCAGCGTGGCCCAGCTCTTCCTCCTCCCTGGTGCAACCGGCCGTCACCCAGGTAACAGCAGAAACCCTGAGCAGGGCGCAGAGGGTCGCCAGCGCGTCTCCTCTGCACGGTAGGAGGTGCGGAGCACCCGGTGGACAGGTGCCCTGGGGACAGCCTCACACTGGCTGGCGCCCAGGTAAAAGCAGGTCGGGCAGAGAGTGGCCGAGCATGAAGGAGGACGCTTGGTGAACACGCAGCGTGGCTGTAGCTCTGACTCTGACTCAGAGTGATTCCCTGCGGTCCCCCCAGACTAGGAAAGGGGGTTCTCGAGCGAGGCTAGAGACTGTGGGGACCAACAGGGATGGGGCTGGGGCCCGATAGCCAGGGGACTTCTGAGGGATTCAAGAGCCGGAACGCCGCCTAGGACCACGAGCGTTATCACCAGGTGTACACGTGACAGGCAGCAGCCTGAGTCACTCAGCTGAGACTCAGCTCAGCCGCTTACTGCCCATATAACTGGATGTCATCTGACTTCTCTACGTCTCAGTTTCCTCGTCATGAAAAACCAGACCGAACCAGCCACAGCATGTGGTCACTCCTCAAAAAAAAACTGCCTTTACCAAGGCCAGGCATGATAACGGGTGTAGTAGTACTGTGTCCACACAGGGCCCTGACACCGGGGGGCCTTGTAGGAGGGAGAGGGGACGTGTGTGACCTTCAGGACCAGCTGCAGTCGGTCGGGATGGGAGAGTAGGAACCACAGGGTGCAGCACTGCATCGCCAGGCACCCTGGGCCCCCTCAGAGTGGGGTCGGCTTTGCTCCCGAGAGGAAAGCAGGAAGGGGCCGGGCCATAAAAATGTGCAGGCTCCTGGGGCCTGAAGGGCAGACCCCACGCCCAGAGCCAGGACTGTTGTGTTCGAGCTCAGAGAAGAGCCGATCCCGTGGGTGCCCAGCTGGCCTGTTCCGCCGCCAGCTCTGCTCAGCCTGTCACAGCTGCCGGTTCCCGAGCCGCACCTGCGATGCGCCAGGGACCTGGGAGGCCTCTGAACACCGACATCCAGGACTAGCAGGCCCGTGCATGCATCGCCTGCCTGCCTTCCAGGCAGCGAGGCTCAGGAGAGAGAAGGGACACGCCGGAGACCTGGGGAGCTGGGATTCAGAGCGGAGGGTCCTGGCCTCGCTCTGTGCTCTGCGGACTCTCCCTGTGGGCCGGGCACCGAGGGTCACCGAAAGATACTCAGGAGCTGAGTTCTGAGCGTTGTTGGAAGGTCTGCAAAGGGAAAGGGAACACAGAGCAAAGAGTGCCAGGAAGATGGAGGTTGTGACAAGGCCCAGAGAAGCCCCATCTCACACAAACCCACACGGCGCAGGTGAAAAATCACTTCCACCCGTACTACCTCCAGGCCCCCATACACAGGTATCATGGGAGTCGTTAGCTGAGTTTTTGCACGGGACGAAACGTGGGCTCACAGAGGCTGTTTTCTGGCAAGGCCCCACAGCTACGAAGGGCGATGCCAGGACTTCAGCCCCAGGCTGTGGCTCCAAGGCCTGCTGCCCCCACCAGCCTCACTGCGTGGGTTTCCTCTCCCAACGTCACCACTGGTCCCGTGGAAGTCTGCACCTCCTCAGAGCTGCCCCCTTGCAGCCGGCAGCAGGGAAACCGGGGAAGCAATGGGGACCGCCTCTGCTGAACCCCCAGGGCCTGCTCCTTCCTCTCCCGGTGGGTGGAAGGGGAAATGGCCCTTTTCTGATGAGGCCCTTTATGGAAAGTGCTGTGTTCGCTTCACTGCTGCCTTAAGAAGTCACCATGTGCACGGTCGCTTCAAAGGACACACACACACACTACCTCGGAGTTTCTGGAGGCCGCAAGTCCCGCCTCCATCTCACTGGGCTGAAATCAGTGTCATGCCTTCTGGAGGCCTTGAGCAGGACCCGCCTCCCCATGGGGGTTGCGACAAGAGTCAGTTCCTGGAGCTGGAGGGCCCAAGTTCCCCCTTCCTCCCGGGCTGTAGACCGGAGGCCATCCCGAGCGTCCGGCAGCCACCACCCGCAGCCCCCTTCCTCAGAGCCAGCAAGGGGGTCCGGTCCTTCGCACGCCACGCCTCACTCTCCGACAGTGTCCTCTGCTGCTCTCTCCTGCCATCAAGGACCACGTCGTGAGACTGGGCCCACCGAGACGACCCCGGACAGTCCGCTGTCTCACGGTCCTTCACCTCGACCGCATCCACCGAGTCCCTTTGCCGAGGAAGGTCACAGAGTCACAGGGTCAGAGGATTAGGATGTGGGCACTTTGGGGGGCGTCCTTCTGCCCCCCCCCCCGCACAGTGACCTTGTCTACCGCTTCTTCCGAAGAAAGCTGCTTTTTGAACGGACAGAGACAAACTTTTAAGACCAGTGTCCTCAGTTCAAATCCTAAGTCGATGGCCTAGTGTCTGGAAAATCTTCAACAAGACACATAACCTCTCTGGGCCTCAGTGTCCCTATCTGTAAAATGGTGACACATTCATGCATATAAACACTGAATTAGGTTTTGCAATAAAATATTTCAAATCTCTGGCCCAGGTTCTGGCTCACATGCCTATGTATTTTTCCATGTTTCCTGGGAGAAGAAATACCTGAAAGCTGAAGAATGGGGGTGGGGCGGTCTTTAACCTGGGGGGTCCATTGCAGGGTTTCAGAAGGCCGCCAGTTCCTTGGTATTGCATGGGCAGCGGCGTGACATGGCACATGTGCGTCTCTGTCAGGTGAGGTGACGTGGCATCGATCACGTTCTCAGGAAGAGCTGCGCCAGAGGCGGGCTGGTGCCCATCTGATGGCTGGTCTGCAGGGCGGCGTGGTGAGAGGTCCTCCTCTGTCACATGTGCCCTTTCCACGGTGTCAACACTCCCGCCATAGACGATTTCAAATTATGAACAGATGTCACAGAACACAGAGCTGGAGAAAGACATGCACGTTGGCTCTCGCGAACCGGTGGGACCCAGCGCCGGCCCACCGCCGCCGGTGGGTGACCCAGGAAGGCCGCACAGCACGGCTGCGGGGGCCAGGCCTGGCATTCCAGTACGTCTGATGCGCTGTGCTCGAGGGCTTCCGTTTTGTTTTTCCCTCGGCAGGGCTGATCGTTATCAGGATGCCGGAGTTATTTTGAGCAGCTTAAGGCAGACATCTGGAGGAGGGACAGGCGGCGGGAACCTCGGGTGACGGCATTTGGGGGCGGAGGACGGAGCCTGCAGGGAGTCTGGGCCCTGGCTGGGAGCCGCAGGACCCTCTGCGGGGAGAACAGGGGACCCGGATGCAGCCCCAGCGGGAGGAGACGCGGGAGCAAACACCGGGCCTGACCAGGTAACAGGAGGAACTCGATAGCGGCGCGT